CGACACATAAATCACTTCACCAAGTTTTATATTTAAAAATCAACAAACAACAAATAAAATGACTTTTTGACTTTTTGACTAAAACAATAACATTACCAATGATCTTTGGATTTTAAATAACAACTTGACTGACAGCAGTTTAATATCACGTTGAAATATCTAATGTAGATGTTCAAATAAAGCTTTGAAAAAGTTTCATAAAAAAATTTCAGCCTTTAAATAAAGAAAAGATATAAGTCAAAATGATAATTGATTAATAAATGATTATATGTATTTTATCTGCTCCATAAATAATTCTAGAGAACGTATCTGAATTGTTCAAATGTGTAGAATCCACATAAGCTTGTTTTTCATCAACCGGTTAAAATTTACAGCAGGGCATAAAAATTCAGTCCGTTTTTGGCCAGACAGAAACTGCACACAGACTGAATGTAAATATAGATCTCTGTAAATCCACTCGCTGACAGCAGGTGGCGCTAATGGAAAAGCTGAATTACAGCTGTTTCCCGTAACCTCCGTGGACACAGCAGTATTGCGATTAAGAACACCTCCTTTAGGTATTACATGGAGCGAAGATGAAAACAAAATGCCATCGAATCGTTCCTGAAGACATTCAGAACCTTCAGAGGTACATTCATATAATTAATTCATTCATATATTAATTTATATTATGCCCTTAGCACTCTTTTAAAACCTCCCAGCTTCTCTGCCGTTTTCACTCAAAATGAAACTACTCTGCTTGCTGTGCGCACATGAGACTGTTACTGAAAACTGTGCTTTATGCTGGACAGTATTTATTTATCGCGAGTTGTTCAAAAACTCGGTTTTAATTTAAAAATGAAACGGTAATACTAACCGTGGGGAATTTTATCATGATTTATCGTCAACCCGGTAATCGTTACATCCCTAGTACCCTCTAACTGTATTTTCATCCATGCATTAGGCAAATGCTTTTATCTTAAGAAACATGCACTACTTTGAAGGAGAGAATTTTTATCAGTCCATGCATGTGCATGAATTTTGCTGGGAATCGAATCCATGATCTTGGCGTTGCGAGCACCATGCTCTACTGTTTGAGTTTCAGGAAAGCCCACAGAAAAAGTGTATTTCCGCACATAAAATGTTAAAATAATATTAAAATTTAATAATAAAATTTTCAAAAGTTGTGAAAAAAAGAATTACATTTTTTTTTTATATTGTAATGTACTGTGAGAAGTGTTACTGCTTAATGTTTACTGTTGTTACCTGATTTAGTTTTTCATAGTGTGATTTTTGGTGAATTGTATTGAATTCAGTTAGGGGCAATTTGACCCACATCTAGGGCGGGCCGATATGGCCAAAAGTGTTATCACATTATTATTTTTCATGTCATACATTATTGATATTTATCTATTAATATCCATAAATATATATATATATAAAATATCCATTATTTGGGAAGAAAATGCTTTCCACATGTTTGTTAGACCTTGAGAATAAATGTAAACATAACTTATTTGTTCACAATTAAACTCCACAGAGTAGCTCCCTTTTAATTTAGGGAATGAAATCCATTTTATTTTTCTCTAAATTCTGTGATTTCCACTTTCTGTGTTTTCTGAGATTTAATTTGAATTAATAAAACTTGAACAATTTAATCGATCTTTTGAAATGTAATCAAATGAAAATATAATGATTTTTCTGCTTATTAGCAACATGCACTGACTGGCTTTTGTTGGCGTTTTGGCGTTTATTTCTGCTGTGTGATCGGCTGTTAGATTAATCCATGTCAATTCAAAATGTCCAGATCTTATCATGGTTGTTGAAATTAATTTGATTGTGATCTCGATTGTACCCAGAATTTGAACCTAATACCCTGTACATGGGATAAACACAAGACTGGACTCTGGGAAACCAGAGGTTGTTGTTGTTATTAGTCAGGCCAGCACTGGCCTACATTGCACATGTATGCGCTGGTACAGTGCTTGACCCTCAGGCAGCTAATATTCACATATCGATTAGGCTGAGTTTTCTACCATGATGAGCACAGTGTTAAATTTTTTTTTTTTTTTTTGCATCAAATGCATTTCATCATTTTAATTTCATTACCACAGGTCAGACCTTCATTTGTAATTCCTGTACAGATTAAACCACTTCAAAATTCAAGGAAGATTCAAAAGATTCATTTCGGGCCAATCTAGGCATCCAGCTCAATGTTTTTGTTGCTTCACTCTGCAAAAAATCAACAAACAACAAATAAAATGACTTTTTGACTTTTTGACTAAAACAATAACATTACCAATGATCTTTGGATTTTAAATAACAACTTGACTGACAGCAGTTTAATATCACGTTGAAATATCTAATGTAGATGTTCAAATAAAGCTTTGAAAAAGTTTCATAAAAAAATTTCAGCCTTTAAATAAAGAAAAGATATAAGTCAAAATGATAATTGATTAATAAATGATTATATGTATTTTATCTGCTCCATAAATAATTCTAGAGAACGTATCTGAATTGTTCAAATGTGTAGAATCCACATAAGCTTGTTTTTCATCAACCGGTTAAAATTTACAGCAGGGCATAAAAATTCAGTCCGTTTTTGGCCAGACAGAAACTGCACACAGACTGAATGTAAATATAGATCTCTGTAAATCCACTCGCTGACAGCAGGTGGCGCTAATGGAAAAGCTGAATTACAGCTGTTTCCCGTAACCTCCGTGGACACAGCAGTATTGCGATTAAGAACACCTCCTTTAGGTATTACATGGAGCGAAGATGAAAACAAAATGCCATCGAATCGTTCCTGAAGACATTCAGAACCTTCAGAGGTACATTCATATAATTAATTCATTCATATATTAATTTATATTATGCCCTTAGCACTCTTTTAAAACCTCCCAGCTTCTCTGCCGTTTTCACTCAAAATGAAACTACTCTGCTTGCTGTGCGCACATGAGACTGTTACTGAAAACTGTGCTTTATGCTGGACAGTATTTATTTATCGCGAGTTGTTCAAAAACTCGGTTTTAATTTAAAAATGAAACGGTAATACTAACCGTGGGGAATTTTATCATGATTTATCGTCAACCCGGTAATCGTTACATCCCTAGTACCCTCTAACTGTATTTTCATCCATGCATTAGGCAAATGCTTTTATCTTAAGAAACATGCACTACTTTGAAGGAGAGAATTTTTATCAGTCCATGCATGTGCATGAATTTTGCTGGGAATCGAATCCATGATCTTGGCGTTGCGAGCACCATGCTCTACTGTTTGAGTTTCAGGAAAGCCCACAGAAAAAGTGTATTTCCGCACATAAAATGTTAAAATAATATTAAAATTTAATAATAAAATTTTCAAAAGTTGTGAAAAAAAGAATTACATTTTTTTTTTATATTGTAATGTACTGTGAGAAGTGTTACTGCTTAATGTTTACTGTTGTTACCTGATTTAGTTTTTCATAGTGTGATTTTTGGTGAATTGTATTGAATTCAGTTAGGGGCAATTTGACCCACATCTAGGGCGGGCCGATATGGCCAAAAGTGTTATCACATTATTATTTTTCATGTCATACATTATTGATATTTATCTATTAATATCCATAAATATATATATATATAAAATATCCATTATTTGGGAAGAAAATGCTTTCCACATGTTTGTTAGACCTTGAGAATAAATGTAAACATAACTTATTTGTTCACAATTAAACTCCACAGAGTAGCTCCCTTTTAATTTAGGGAATGAAATCCATTTTATTTTTCTCTAAATTCTGTGATTTCCACTTTCTGTGTTTTCTGAGATTTAATTTGAATTAATAAAACTTGAACAATTTAATCGATCTTTTGAAATGTAATCAAATGAAAATATAATGATTTTTCTGCTTATTAGCAACATGCACTGACTGGCTTTTGTTGGCGTTTTGGCGTTTATTTCTGCTGTGTGATCGGCTGTTAGATTAATCCATGTCAATTCAAAATGTCCAGATCTTATCATGGTTGTTGAAATTAATTTGATTGTGATCTCGATTGTACCCAGAATTTGAACCTAATACCCTGTACATGGGATAAACACAAGACTGGACTCTGGGAAACCAGAGGTTGTTGTTGTTATTAGTCAGGCCAGCACTGGCCTACATTGCACATGTATGCGCTGGTACAGTGCTTGACCCTCAGGCAGCTAATATTCACATATCGATTAGGCTGAGTTTTCTACCATGATGAGCACAGTGTTAAATTTTTTTTTTTTTTTTTGCATCAAATGCATTTCATCATTTTAATTTCATTACCACAGGTCAGACCTTCATTTGTAATTCCTGTACAGATTAAACCACTTCAAAATTCAAGGAAGATTCAAAAGATTCATTTCGGGCCAATCTAGGCATCCAGCTCAATGTTTTTGTTGCTTCACTCTGCATTGCTCTTATGAGAGCCCCTCTATGATAAGTTTGCTTTGTTCCGCCACAGATCAAGATCTATAAAGAGGTCTGTTCTGCAGAGATGAACTTAATGCTCATTGACGTGCGGTACTCTTGTCCTAATAGGCCAGACCGGCCTCTCCAGCCCCCCGAGGCCTAAAGTAATTGATCCTGATATCGTTAGCTCCATGCTAATCCATCATTGAACAGCTCATTTACAGTAGAGCCCCTGTATTCTCTCTCCTCTCACACCCACAAAAGTAGAGCAGTCCACAACAGCCTGTCTATTTCCCTGCACAATGCTGTTCATTCCTCTAGAACTGTTCATTTCCGTCATCGCTCGCCAGACTAACTTGAGGCTTTATTATGGGGAAGATCAAAAAATGGAAGCTTCCCTCGGTTTCACACATGGCCACCGTGCGGGGCCAGTCGCGGTCCCGGCAAAAGAGTGTCGAGGGTCTGTGCGCCAGCACTCTTTTAGGAGTCCTGCATACTAGAACCTGGTTACTGGATGCCCAGCTGGTGTATCTGCTGGAAAGGACTCAAGCAGGACCCACTCCTCCTCCTCGTGCTCAATCGCTCTGCTCTTTCTCCTCTGCAGATGGCGGGAACGAGGAGACCATAGATCTACAGAGCACCAGCTTGGATCCCCTTCACAACTTCACTGGCCAAGGTAAGCTCTGATTGCAATATCTGTGCGTAAGGTACAACTTAGCCTAGTTATAACTTATGCACTGCTAAATATATTTTCCTTGCACCATCGAAACATAACCCTACTAAATATTTAAGACTCTGCTTGGAATAAAATGGCATTTTGATTGATTAAATTGCAACAATAAGCTTTTACCTGATGAACTTCAGTACTTTACACATACACACTACCGGCCACCAGTTTGGAATTATTGGTATTTGTACGTACTGCTCTTAAATTTGGTTGTCAATTCACTTTTTGGTGCTTAATCCTGTTCTGTACACACACACTTCAGTAAGTTACGGGACAACCGTATTCTACAACCGAATTGACTCCTGAAAAGTTCAGGTAGTGACATCCGCATTTACAGTTCTGTACAAACTGGACAACTAGTTGTTAATGTATTGGAGTTGCGATGCAAGAAGTCACAGGGAACAAGGTATGTCTTGACTCATTAGTGTTGCCAGATCTTGCTATAAAAAACGACAACAGATAAGAACAAGCCCATAATAAACTCAAATCCAAATGGCATATCTTGGAAATGAGCTACATAACAAAATTTTGCAAACTGCACCTACCTACTTTATTAATTCCATAAATCGGATTGTTTTATGAGCCAAGCCGAAAGGTGGTTAATAAGCATTGCTTATAATAAATGGACATGGAAACCCTTCAAGAGCGGGCTCTGCAAAGTAGCCTTCAAAACACAAACAAAAACGACGGCTCTGTCGAAAGAGGTTTAGATAAAATTGCCGACCAAACAAGTTTTTGGTTGCTGTAATATTACTATTACAGCAATTAAAAATAGTGGAAACCAAACACGAAAGACAGCAACATTTTGCTAAGGTTACCATAGTGCCAGTCATCGCAATTTCGAGAGTGAGTACTGTTCCCGTACACACACAACATTTAGAGAATTCACTCCTTTATTTAAATGCGGTTGTCACGCCTGAAACTTTACAGTGTGTGCGTGGCCAACAGCATATGTTTTTATGCATTTTATGTAAGTAGTCTGTTATCTGCATTTTTTTGGCCATATAATAAGATCAACAACGTTACCAAATTGCATATTTTTGCTCAGTTTATATGTTTTTTCAGACTATTTTCATGTGTCAGGCTTTACAGGGTTAAACAGATCTTAATACCTGCCCTATTGTAACATGTTTCGTGAATTTTCGCTCAGGTCCCATTAACGGCGTACTTTCTTTGTCTCATGTGTCCTCCAATCCTGTAGGTGGCAGTATAGACAGTGACTGTGCCTTTGAGGGGGACTATGCTGTGCCTCTGCTTTCCATGGCTGAGGGGCTGCAGCACATCTGTATGATGGAGGGAGTGTCCCGATCTCTGCCCTCATCACCTCTACTCACCCACCAGACCTCCAGCGCAATACCACCGTCCGTCAGGAAGGTCTTCGGCACAGCCACAGGTACTGAACTCTCTCAGTCATGATGCCACAATTCCTAATGCCAGCATAGAGGCGTACCATCACTTACCTGAAATGTTCAGGAAGTTTTTATTTATAGTAATGTCATGTAAAAGACATGGATACTCTTTACAATGCTGCAGAGCTAGTATATAGAGTATAAACAATGTTTTCTTGTTTTGTTCATTTTTTATTTAATGTTTTATTCTTTTCTTATTTTTATTTTATTTATTATTTTATTTGACATTTTACTTTTTATATTTTATTTTCATATTTCTTTTTTTTATTTAAATTATTTTTTATTATTTTTTTATTATTTTAATATTTTAAATGATTTCGTTCATTATTTAATACATTTCAAAGAACATTCAAAACCTAGCAATCTTCTTCTGAAATCTTTTGCTTGAGAAGTTGTATTTGTTCTTTAATTGTTTACATTTTTGCTATATAATACAAAAAATTATGCATTTTTTAAATGTGCGCATTGGGTGTCCAAATACTTGTAGGGCCCCTGTAGTTAGTGTTGGATGTGTCCACTAGGGTGTACCAGCCTCATATTCCTGTTAAAGATTGAACAGATACATGTTAAAGCATCAGAATGTCATTTTCATCAACGTTTGTATTTTGTCTGTTAGTTTGCAATTATTTATCAGATATGAACGTGTCTGAATTTTGGTTTGGACAAAAAAGAGAGTTGTCATTATACCATGACTCTTACAATCTTATCAAGGAGAGCGTGTCCTTGCACTTTCATCTGTTGTGAAATCAAGTGCATTGTGGGAGTTTTGCTGAAAAGGACAGTGGTGTTGTTGATATGAGTCACTCAGTGGTTCTGCTTTTGCTCTTTGTGATGTTAATATCTCTTACTGCTCTGATTCAAGGTTCAGTTTCATCCAGATTGGATGATTCGTTTCAGAGTTTGGACTTTGTGCTTTATAGTTTACAGAAAACAAAATGGCAGCAGCGTTATTCATATAAAGAGAGGTGAAAAAGAGAAAAATAGTGCTCTCATGCCCGAGCCAACAAACCAGAACATATTTTAATAACCTTAAGAGTTTAATTCCAGAAAGTGATCTTAAAGATGAATGGTTAGAGAGTCATCTAAACCTTGTTTAGGAGCAGCAGAGAAGTAGTTTTTAGCAATTTGGAGTTCTTCTATATTCGCTCCCAGCATTAATTGCAGTGTGTTTTTGCCAGCTGATTTGTAATTCTCCAGTGTAAGCAGTGTTGTGGAGCTTCTCATCTCTGCTAATGAAGGCCTCTTTATGAGCGCCGTTTCATCCCGTTTTTCATCCATTTTCTGCATATTCATGAGAACCTAATAAAGTGTTGCTTTTGCATTTGAGAACTGTCCTGTTATAATGGAGGGGAAACATAGAACGGACTAAGAATTAAACAATTCACTGCATTTATATGTTCAGAAAGACTGATGAAAAATGATGTTATAAAATGAATGATCTTTTATATACAAGGATAGATTTGGATCTGTTCCACTTTTTCAAATGGTTCCAAGACTTTGTAATGGAAGATGGCTATTTATATATATATATATATATATATATATATTTATTTATTTCTACTTTATTACTCTAAGATAATGTTTCATATTTTTGCCCAATGATTTTTTCCTTGAATTCCATCAATTCACTTCCTGGCAGCTTTCCCCACAGTTTTTTTTTCCAACAGTGGTAATAGCGATGGGAAATATTCAATACATTTACATTTTTGTACACATATTCAATGTGTGTCTTTGCAAATGTATCCACTTTCCCCTATAAGCCATTACAGTATATGAGTTATATGTTCATGCAGTATCTTTTGCTGCATTAGCTTTAGTCATAGTTTAGGTCTGCCACCAACTATGGATACTTCTTAGGTCAGACGCATACAAACACAGATGAGCAGATGCTTGTTGTACCAACTTCATTTGTGTTCCTGCAGTACTGTGGCGCTAACAAACCTCAGTTCTCAGGAGGCAATAGATTTCACTGCAAATGTTTGTACCATTAAACACAATGTAGTATTATTCAAGCAACTGGCAATAAAAATATCAGTTTAACTAGCTTTAACTTACCAAGAAAGATTGCTCTGCCCTAAATGAGAAGAAAACAAGGCAGTTTACTATGTCAGCTATACCGACTCTGAGAGAATGTAGGCTCACTGGATAAATCTACATACATTTCTGCAAAACTCAAAAAAAAAAACCTGTACAGTACACTACAGTACAATACAGTTCACTGCAATTTCCGCTTTAAAACACCAATAAATTTTATTCCCTTTCACACAAATTATTATTAGAGGAGCAGATTATTGATTAATAAAAACTAGGGGTGTAACGGTACACACAAGTCACGGTTCGGTACGTACCTCGGTTTTGGGGTCACGGTTCGATACGAGTTCAGTAAAACAGGGAATGTATATTTTCATTTATTTTGAACAGACAGTAGTGCTACATACATGTAGCATGAGCAGTTGTTTTGATTTGGATTAGATTGTATAATTTCAAGATTTAATTTAAAGCAAAAACAGAATGGTCTGACGTTAGATTTGTGAAATTATGCTACATAAGACACCCCTGCACAAAACAAAAACAACAGACGGACAGAATTAAAACGCAAATTCACTCTCTGACAGCAGGAGGCGCTTATGGAACAGCAGCAATATAGAGTTTCCTGACTTAACGCTGTAACCAAAGCACACTTGAATGGTCTGACGTTAGATTTGTGAAATTATGCTACATAAGACACCCCTGCACAAAACAAAAACAACAGACGGACAGAATTAAAACGCAAATTCACTCTCTGACAGCAGGAGGCGCTTATGGAACAGCAGCAATATAGAGTTTCCTGACCACTGTAAACAAAGCAGCTGCACTTATAGACGCTACTTTAATATGCATTATATTGAGGTAAGAGGAAAAGAAAATGCCATCGAAACATTTCTAAAGACGGTCAGTTCCTGTCAGAGATACATTCATATAAACCCCCACATATTTGTCTTCCTATATTTCGAGCATCACAAACAGTGAGCTTGATCTGCCTGGTACAGTATTTTCTCCTCTTTACAGACTTCATAAAAATTCCACACTAATTATATTTTGGAAAATGATTGCAATGCAGCATCTATAGAGCCCGAAACTTTCCCACACTGCTGATTCAATATTCTTCGTCTGACCGAGTGAACCGAACCGTGAATACATGTAACGTTACAGCCCTAAAAAATAGTTATTTTCACACGATTCTTTAATATATGAACTCAACACACTTTTACCATAGTGCATGATTTGTAAACTAATACTTTTTCACATTTTCTTCACATGTCCAGCTCCATATTTTTGACTTTTTTGATTTAGTAAACTTGCTTGGTTGTGCACCCGGTACAGCATTGCACTTGTAATGTGAAGTGCCCGGGTACAAGTCCCATGAAACACAATAAAAGATTTGTAGAAACAAAATAAAATGACATGGGTGCTTCAGCAAATGTATAATCTTTTATTGACACTTTTGGTTAGTTTTAGAGTTGGGTTCAGTGTAGATGGTAAGTTATTTTTAAACAAGAAGAGCATTAACCTTTTAGCATCATTTACCAGAAATTTCATTTCTGAGCTGCTGTGATACGTGCAACCAAAGTAATAAAACATTGCCAGATTCACATTGGCCTGTTTCACTTTTAGCACCACTCACTGGACATTTCATGTTGAAAGTGTTGTGAAACGTACAAGAAACAACATGATGTTATTTTGCAGAAATGCTGCACAGGCACGTTTTTCCAGTGAACCTGACTTGAATACTAAATGCAATGAAGCTTGCATAACAAGAAATGTTGCATATATTTTGGGCTTGTTTAAATACAACTAAATACTCGGGTAGCACTAGCACCCATGCTCTGACACATTGAGTTGTGGTGCTCATGTGGGAAATGGGGTTTTGAGTCCAGCTCGCAACTTTCTCTAATCCGGTTCCCCCTTTTCTCCCCTCATAATCTCATATCTGCTATCGTATCAATAAAAGTGACCCCTCCCATGTTCTTCGCTCTCCTCTTTCTTTTGTTCTCCTTCTTTATCTGCCTCATTCCATTTGTCAGGCGATTTCCTACTGGTAAAGAAAAGGAGAAAATGGCAGATTGTATCCATCTCTTCACCTTCACATTTGAACAAAGCCCAGCAAGAGAGCAGTGACCTTTTTAACAGATCAATCACATCTTGATTTAAGCCTCCTGGGGCGAGGCGGGGGGTCCGACGCGTCCCTCCTCCATCAGTTCAGCCTCAGCGAGTAGTGAAGGTGCACAGACGCCTCCCCTGAACAACCAGCAGTTCTTGATTGAAAATGCCACGAGGCCTTTGTTTTTGCGGATTGAATTCTGTTTCTCTCAGGTGCATAGCTGCGACGTCAATTAACTTCTGTTGAAGCTTGCAGGGAGGCATTTAATTCACCTCTGAGCATAACAAAGTCAGATATATAGCACCCCAATGTGGCTTAGCTGATTTATTGAAGATTTCATAAAGCTGTATGTGTGGTCTGTTGAGACCGCTTTGTCATTTTGTACTGCGGTAAAGAAATAAGGGCCGGATTGCATTTGAGAGACAACTTGTTGATTCCTCAAAATGCACTTAAATGTCAAAATTATGAATGTGGGTAATGGGATAGATGTCATACTCTTGAGATTCTTTTTAAAATAAATAATAAGTACCAAATAAAATGTGTAAGAATATAACATTTACTCCAATATTCCACAATGCTGTAACATGCAGCTTTGAAATGTTTTTTTGTATTTTTTTTTCACTTTTGTCGATTTCATTCTGATTTAAAACCTTCTGATTTAATTCAATTGCAGTTTCGATTTGATCTGAATGGATTCTGACTCACTGGGTGGGAAGTTTTTTTCTCTGCTAATGCTTTAAATTATACAGAAGTTCAGATGGGTAACTCATCTTTTTGAGCTTATAAGAGTCACTTTTTTGGGGAATTGGGCTACATGGTCACAATGTATTTTGTGATTCACTG